TGTAGTGGATTAGAGTTGTTTTAATGAAATGGAGAATTTTGATTTTATTTATCTTCCAATTCACTCGTATGATTATGATTTTTTTAAATTCATTGATAAATCTCGTTCCAAAGCTCTCGCTACTAGTTATCTAGAGCGAACCCGTCCAAGTGATCGGTCGTTTAAACTCTGCTTGAATATCACTGACCTACCCCATATCACACCAGATCCACCACAACAAACCATTAGCCGAGGTTTCACGCCGGCTAAGCTTCGGGGTTACTCATTCATCCCGTGGGTTATCGACGTTTTATGCCCGCGTCCCGACGCTTATTCGGCTCTTCGCATCCTCACTGGTTCAACCCAGGTCGTTGAGTTCACGATTTTACTGATTTTCCTAAGAAAGCTTTTCCCTGTTGTCGATCCACCGTAGGACTTCGAATTAAGTAGGCTTGGGCCTTATAAAATTGGATGGTCCAGACAGTAGAGGCTGTACTACATTTTGATTACTGACTTTCGATCACTTAGATAAATTACAAAATAATTAATCAATTGGTCCTTTTTGAAATTAGTGATTTTTTAAATTTTATAAAAATAAAAAATTCGAATTTGAATATAACTTAAACTTTATACAGATTGTTGATCGTTATGGAATTACAGCGGAAGGTACTGTTAGCAATATGCTGTGGGAAGCACGTGTGTTAAGAGGTTATATGTAAATTGATGGAGCATGTGTTTTTTTTTAAATGTCCAATTTTCACAAGTAACCCTCGTCACAGGCTTGATTACACGTGCTTTAGGAACTTTTGTTCTCATGGGCGTAGATGGCTCTCTCGAAAGCTCGTTTCCTTTTAGGTTCAGTTTACAGCCAAGTCGAATTGAGCCACCATATATAGTGAGCTTCCTCGTTGGGTGTGTTTCTGACGTGGTCAGGGAGTTCACGGTTGAGAAATTTTAGTACAGGCGTCAACTGCAGATACAAAGGAAAAAAAGATAAAAAAGGCAAAAATAAAAAGAAAATTAATGCAGTGTCGGCGTAAGATAAACATTTCATTTGAAATACGATTAAACCCTTGTTTATCTATGATTAATCATCGTATTTGTCACTGTTCGATGCGTCATAAATTACGATTTGTAAATTGGAAACTTTACCCCGGTAATATGCGATCCAATGAAATGACCCAGAAGTAACGGCACACTGCGATCTCCGGTTAGGAGGAATTTGCAAATCTTTATCCTTCCCGAGAAGTTTATGATTTGTTAAAAGCCGTCCACCCTGTGGAATAAGTATGAGAAGGGGGAAAAAAAGGAGGAATAAGGTCGACGTCATGAAAGTACCGGGGGTTCGCTACAAGTTCAAGAACCAAGATCAAGCAATGTCCATAGTATAGCTATACCATAAAAAGATTTATAGTTTTACGAGACTTTGCGAAAACTCGACAAGAAAAAAAAAACATAAAAAAACTTTCCGACTTACGCAAACCAGTACGCAATAAAAGTTTACGGGCCGAACGCAAATAATTTAAAAGGATCCTAAGATAATATTGAAATTTGAGTTATATTTATCAAAAAATTTTTTTTCCATTCCCTACCGTAGGCATAGCTAAAAATTCCAAATTTGAGTATAAATCATAAAAAATTATATTCTACAATTCACAGACCCTGCTGCCTGACTCTTCTAATGATCCGTCATACGAGCACGTACGCAGAATTTCAATTTGCCTGGATAACCCTCGTCGTCAGGACGTGCGAGAAGCTGGCCGGAAGTGGTCGGGCCGGAAGTAGTGTGCGGGCCGGCGTGTGATTGCATCCTCGAGGACCTGTTGCTCGTTTCAGAAGTGAGAGTATGGGTGTCCGCCGCTTTACTGTTAGAAATGGGACGTAAGGTGGTGTGGGGGTCGTTGGGATCGCTGGTGGCTCCTGGGTGGCTGGGGAGACTAAGAGGGGTGGCTGGTAAGTATATCTACCCTTTGTTAATTCGGGTTTAACGCGAGCGGGACTGTTGCTCATGGAGGCAGACAATGGGGTCACTAGGGTGTTTCGTGCCAAGTTTTCATCGCTGGACAAGTTTAGACCTATCGACCATTGCCTGCAGACACGGGGTAAACAGGAGGGTGATCGGGATCGGCGATTCTAGTGTAATCGGTTCGCTAGCGATCAACCGATTTAAATGCTGCTAACGTGTTCAGTTGTATGTTTCGAATTTCGAATACGTAACGCACATACTATGTATACAGTTCATTTGACGTACAACCTGGAATCATGCGGATGAAGAAGAAAGAAAGCATGTATACATATATATATATATATATATATATATATATATATATATATCAGAGATTTTTTTAATTTGCAGAATCCTTGTGAGATTGAATACAAAGTAGTTTAGCGGAAAGGAACGATAATGTTCAGTTTGATTGAATATTTAAGGGCGGATACGGTACAAGTCCAAAGGGAAGAAAAATGGTAATCTGGGATTTAACCTCCTTCGAACTACCTCTATCCTGTGTGCATCGAATCGAATAGCGCATAGTATGCATGCCGGGGTGCAATACATCGGACGAAGAGAGGAGGTGGCGGAAGAGGAAGAGGTGGAGGAGGATGAGGACCAGGAGGTGGAGGCCCTCCAGCCTGTTTTCCCTTTCGTTCGCCCACCCGTCGCATGACACATATTCACATATTCAGCCCCCTGTAGCCCCCTGTAGCCCCCTACGGCCCCTTAAACACACACGTGGGTATTTCACATACGTGGGAGCACGGCTCAGCTGAGCCGTGACGTATGCATGTCGGCAGCCCGTGTGAACTTATTCCGTCACGTGGTTTTGAGCAGTTAAGCTGGTATTACACGGTTCAAATAAAACCTGTATTATACCCAGCGATCTTAATCGAACGATCAGAGCAAACGAGCCTCCGGCGAAGAATATAATCTCGGTACCGGCTTTTTGGGATTGGATTGAAAAAATAATTTTCCAAAATTTTAACCACGACAAAGATTGTTGCGATCAAAGGGTTATGAGAATTAAAAGTAATTGAATAATTTAGACTTCTTCACTGACATTCCTAGCATCCAGATTCAGAGTGACGTCATACTCAACGAAGCAAATTCAATTGGCGAACTCCAACGTTCGGATTAAGGGTAGCGAGATGAGGCACAGGGTGGGCTGGTCTCAAGAGTCAAATATTCTTTTATGAAAATCCGAGCATGTCATTCGGGCTTTAGGGACCTGTTGCTCGTCTCTATCTCTCTCGGTTGCCGCCCCTCGTCACTGTGTATACGTGTGTACAGGAGCAGCCCCCCCGGAATACTCAATCTACGAGAGAGAAACGTGTGTCGGTACCGTCTTATGCTAAACTTTGTGGGTCGCTCGGGATCACCCGTCGTGGCGCCACTTGTCGGGCAAATCGTTCCCTGCGCCTTACTTGTTTCCATTGCCGCGCGACGAAGACAGAAATTCCCATTAAGGTCAATGGGCTTCCCTGACCAATATGCGCCAGCACTCGTTCCCGTAACAGCGTATACCCATTCCAACCTATTAATTAACGATCTCTTCTTTCATCAAATCGATACCGGTTCGAGCATCGGTGAGAATAACGACAGGCGTGCTCGAGCTACTTAATTAGTCTCAAAGTAAAATAAACTAAATCGCTCCCATAAAAACGCGTTACACAATAATTGCACATACAGGGAAATATAAATATAAACGATAAAAGATCAGCAGCCATAAAAAAGAGTCTAAACGACGTCCGATCAATTAAAAGAAATTTCTACCAACGAATCGAACGATTGTTCTACCAAGTTTCGCAAAAGCCAACGACCTTGAAATTATACGTCCGGTAAGACGCTAACCCAGAAACGTACAATATATAAATATGCAGCGAGAGTTCTCCCGCGCGCATAACCTAACCCCAAAGTGGTCGAGGGACCCAGCAGACGGCTGTTATGAATGGAGAAACTTTCGCGGCGCGTAAACGTAACGCGGTGGTGTAAGGGCAGCGTGCGAAGGAAAGGGATTTCAAGGGAGAAGCGAAAGTGTTGAGGTAGCGTCGGTGGCGTCGCGACGGTATGAATACAAGCAGCTTAGCCCAAGATCCTCCGGTATTAGCATGGACGCACACAAAGCACCCCCACCTTTACCACATAGTGCATACGTAAGTATATACGTAGGGGAAGACGCGCATACGCCTTCGTGAGAGGGCTACGTACGAGTACCGGTACGTACATACAGTGGTATATACGTTTAAACCCTGGAACGATACCAGCAGAGCACACGAGCACTTCGAAGAACAACGGAATAAGCAACAGGTACGTATACGTACCCACGTAGCTACGTACCTAAACCATCATAACCTACGTATCAAAGCAGAATGCGGCCGCTCATAGAACGGACTACGTGGATGTATGGTTAAGTCGGGCAGAAGAAGTAAGACCAATGCCAAGGCTCTTTCGTGCTCTTTGCGCTACCCGTGAAACATATCTGGCACTGCAAACAGGAGGAAGGAGAGCAAAGAAAAAAAAAAACAAGTTTAAGAATTATCGCGCTGCTTGTCAGAGCGTAGTAGGGATAGGCAGGAATGCCCCAGACGGGACGAGCAAAGACATTCCCCTGTGTTGACATTGGTAATTCGAGATTAAAAGATTTAGACGATGACGCGTACCTCAGTGATGCCGTCGTAGTCAGGGATACCGAGGATTCGCGTATGTATAGGGATAGCTTGGGAGTGCTTGATTAAAGGGGAATACGGCAGATCGAGAGGGATGGAAAAGGATTGTCAAATTGTTATTTCATACTTTGGTCAGTGACGTCAGACTCGGGGAATGACGTTGGATCGCAATAGCGCCCACGGTCTTGTGTTCTTATTTTGACCTAAGGTAAACGTCATGTTGGAGTACGTTGTGTCTCGGCGATAAACTTCCCTGCGGTTGCTACTCGGTCTACACCGTATGTTGTACTGTTATACGTTGGCATGCGTGACGCAACAGGAAAATACGATGCGATTGGACTTCCCTGTAATACGCGTGAGTAACATAGCGGGCATTTTGGATGTGGTGAGTGTTCCGTGTATCTATGTCTCCGAGTGTCATTCGTTGCTCGTTTAAGGATATGGAATCAGGTGATTTGGAAGGAACAGCGAGTAACTGGCTACGGTAAGTATTCTATCTTGGATATGGCTCTCCAGTGGTTATATACTTCTCGTGTAATAGTGCTTCGTAACGCCCGTCTTTCCTGAAAGGATATGACGTAACAGCAACGCCCACGTAACTCCTTCTAGGAACTTGACAGAGTCCCAGAGACGTATGGAGTCTCTCCCGCGCAGTAGACCTAACCTCGAAAAAGGTCCGTGCTGAAAGCTGAAAGAATTGAAATATATACAAAGGATCGATATAGTCAAGTGAAGTTGGCGAGCATCGTCCAAACTGAATGTAGATAGTTCGAGCATGTTAATGACGGATAACGATTCTCTAAGTTCTTGCAGTAAAACATTCTGGGCCTCTTTTCCTCATTCCTACCGTGTGTCACGAAAGGAGCAGAACAGTGTATAAAATGTGCTCGCAGCAGGCAGCTGCGGGAAGCAGCCGGCCTGACAAACCGGGCAAGTCTGTGCTACTCACCCTAGCGTGGATCAGCTAGAGTCCAACGGAAATATACAGTACAGTATATTTCGGTACTATAATCTGAGTGCGGTTGGGATACTATAGTAAGTGTTGTACGGGTCTGAGTGGGGCCTGGTGTTCGGGGGCCACATGTGTGCGTCACAGCTGTCCCTCGGACAAAACAGCCGAGCGAACAAGCGGCTTGAGAAGGAAGAGGATCTTGGACTCGTCAGCCACGAACCACTGGAGAGAATGGACAGCGAAAGGGGGGAGAGGGAGAGAGAGAGAGAAATGTCTCTTCTAATCAACCTGGGAAATGTCCAATGTCACGAGTTCGATCGCGACCCACATTCGGCCAAGGGTGCAAACGTCTTTGAATCGCGTGTCTACCGACCGAGCGCTGCGATCGCGTGACGTTTCTTTGTCACGATCGACCTACGTTCTATCGTACCTCTTAATAGAGTTATAAAGAGGTTGCCGTTCCTTGGATGTGCCATATCCATATACGGGAGGCTATGGAGATTCTACCTAGAGATCTACCAAGGAGACTGAGGAAATGATGGAGAATCAGCTAACAGTTAGTGATAGTACTTTTGATATTAACGACAATGTGATAAGGTTCTTTGGTGAAATAATGAAGTCGTATCAGCGGACAGTTAACGCGTGGAGCTATCTTTCTTATCTTCCGGTAACACAATCTGCCTGATAGGAACGATAATGACGTGAGATTAGACAAGAGGGACTGTGCCAATCGTACTGATAATTTTGCCAAATTTTTTATCCCTTCGATTTATATTAATTAACAGTTTAATTCGATAAAATTAAATAGAAGAACTGTCTGTTTCAATATTTTTACTAAATTATAGCGCGCAATTTTCTTTTGTAATTTTGTCAAATTATACATTGATAAGTAATTGAGTGAATCAATAAATCAATATTTTTCCTCGTCAATGACACCCAGGAAAATATATAAGGAAAAACTATAGGGTTGTGAAAAGCTTATTGTGCGACGTCGGGGATATCATTTTTGTATTACGTAAACGTTCTCATTGTCAGCGAGACTTTCGCCACGGTCCTCTTTGGGGAACTTCCTGCGTTCACCAAATCGCGGTCGGTAACAGTTCTTCTCTCGTTGCATACGCGGCACGTGAACCCAATTCTGCTAGAAACGATTGGTTCCCTTCGACATCCTGATGTATCGCCGATATTGCAGCTACCTTCTATTCCCGTTCCCTCTGCTATTGCTTTGTTCACGGTATAGATCTCAGCAGAGTAACACGTTTACACACTCCAGTTCTCCTTCTTTCTTTTGGACTCTCCTGTTCCTCGTCTCTCCAACACAAGCCTGACTAACATAGTCGTAGCTAACTTATATTCTACCTACCAAACAGTGAAATACTGCACAGCGGTGCAGAGGGTTGCCGTGAAACGGAATCTCCACGGAGGAAGCTAAAAAAAAATAGGAAAAAGTAAAAATACTGTGAATCCTAGTGGGAATTGCGAGGATGCGATTTTTTTACGTCGTTTTGAGCTTCGCGCGGATTTATGACGTTTTTGAGTTTCAGCAAAAAAAAATTTTAAATAAAAAAACTTCCGCGAAGGTAACGTATTCGCTAGTTTGAAGACATACAATTTCACTGCATAATGCCTTCTTTTATTTTCTAGTATAAATACTCTTGTTTTTCGTAAAGTTATTATTGAAATTACGTAGGTGAATTATCGGGATACCAACGGAACAGAGTTACCCCGATGGAATATATCAGTATGTGTCCTCCATTGTATCGGACGTAGAGTGCGCACGTCTAGAAATTCAATGGAAGAAGAGGAAAAGCGATGAAATTTTTTTTGACGTCCGTCTGGTCGGGGTTAAAAATGTTGAACGTTCATGACAGCGAGAAAGAGTTGCCTAACGAGATAGCCGAAATTTCGACGTAGGCGTCGGGTCGCGCGTGTGCGTTACAAAACGTCGGCCTTCGGGTGCTCCCACCATCGTGAGATTCGTTGTTCGTTCGGCGAGGCTTTCGTCATCGCCGCCGCTCTCTCAAAATTCTAAACCAAACGAAGGGATTCTCGACGGCGACTCTGTTTTATCGGCTGTTGATTCTCCGCGAGAGTTTCTTCTGCATGCGCCTCGTTTCCCTTCAAAGGCGTAGGAAATTTAAATCCGAGCACCGTGAACGCGCCCATTGGCGGCCTGCCGGAAACTTCCGACGATGCGATAACTTTTTGATATCTACAGAATAAAAAAAATATCTCAACTGTTGTTTTCCGATTCTATGACTTTTCGTAATACCAACCTGCTCATTCAATATTTATCTTTCTAATATCGTGCACCGTAAGAATACAGTGACATAAGTTCGCCGATCTCTGCGACTAAATAAAAACTCTTATAATTTACCTAGATGATCTCATATCACCCAACATAGGGAAAGCAGCTTGTAAAATAATTATGAGGATCATCTTATTAATACATGGAAGAGTAAATTTTCATCTCTAATACAGACAGAAGTATACAAAGGTAAAAAGAATCTTTGACTTTAATTATGTTACCAAACCGTTTAATTCTTTACGCTAGCATATCGCAGTAAGAGTGTTACATGTAAAATATATATTTTTTAAAATCTACGCATTTCGTATTTCAATAAAAGGAATTGTGCAAAAACGAACAGAGGAACATAGAACGGACTTTCGTTAACGAAAGAAAAAGCAAATTTAAAGAAAGGCAAAAGTCTCCCCAAGTAATTCCCCGGAAGATCGCAGAGCGAAAATGATCTCAAGCAGTCGCTATCAATATCTGGCGCGAGTGCATAACCAACATTCTAGCCTGCTATTCAGCATAGAATCGAGTTACAAAACCAAGTTGCAAAAGGCTATGGGCTGTCTTATAGCGCCTGTAGCGACGTTGCTGAGTCACCGCTGCGTTGCCAATATCCGCCGTCGTTCGTACCCGTGGCGTTGCCATGTTTCCCGCAGTCTCGAACCTCTGCCCTCTCCCCCGACACCGCCATGCCACCAACGGCCAACGTTCCATTGGTCGCCGTGCACTCCCTCCGCTCTGCGCCGCTCCGAGCCATCCATCCCCACCTTATAAAGCGAGAGACCGGACAGAGACTAACCGGGCTACAGGATAAAGAAAGACGCAGCAAGCGCCGCTACGTTGAAATTTCATTGCGTTAAGCTCGCTCGTCCGCCGCTGAGCGCGGAATTCACAGAAAACGTCGGTAATAGAGTTTCGTGAGATAAACAGCGTCGTCGTCGCGTCGCGACGCGGCAGGACGAGTAGGGTTACCAACTGGGCATTACCGCACCTCGCCCACCAACGCCTATCAGATCCGCAAACACACATCTTTTCAGCGCAACAGACTGCGAACAGTCAACAACAGGGTCCACCTACGTATCTACCCATAATTCCAAGTATTCGTCAGGCTAGGATACACGAAAACAATCCATCCATCAGAACTGTTTACAGGCAATGCTCCCTTTTGGATCTCCAATGCATCCAGTTACCAGCTACCTTATGAGTATAGATACCTACCTTCCTATATGTATGTAGCTACGTATAGCACCATGCACCGGATCATTCGTGAGATTGAATGTAACTTAAAGCAGCGTGTGACCTTTCTTGAGACTCGGATACCACGGTAACCAGGTTCCTGGAAAGCCTAGACTACTCCTACGCGTCACAGTATTATAAAGGACTTTTTCTTTTCCTTTGCCAGAATTTTATCGTTAAAGGGAGTCGAGCTGGTTGGCTATGTGTTAATCGTAAGCGCTTTTAAAAGGCATCGATACTGCCTCCACTATATCCTACCGATAGTTAGTTTCCCTTAAACTTGGTGGAATCGTTAAGCCGCGCTATCCGTTAAGTGGAAAAATCAAAGCAGCCAATTTCCATAACAATGGCGAGCGCACTTTATAGGTGCGCCCAGATTTTAAGTAGAGTTCAGACTCCAGAGGGTGAATGAGGTTGAACAGCGAAACTCCCGAACGGGCTATCGCACCGTTCGCAAAAGTTACTCAAACCCCGCCGCATGGCTTTACCTATATTACAGGCTCTAGGTAGGCTAACCTAGCCGTATGGAACTTCCTGCGGGAAGTAGGACGCAGCGGGGCGCTGAAGTTCCCAGGATACACGCAAGGGGCATTTTTGCACTACGTGCAATGGATGATTTTGAAGGCACGAGGAAAGTAACAGACAAGAAGAGGCTTATATTTTTATAAATCCTCCTAGGCCTTGCACGAGATAATATTTCGCCTCCCTTGGTATCTCTATACTTCACCCTCTCTCAGCAGCCGTATATTTTAACCACGGATTTTACTTACTCTCTTCGCATCCTCTTTTTGCCGTTTCCTATACGAATTTCGAAAAGAGAACGTCCCGAATGTCAGAGATCAATGACAATCGCATCGTCCTGATGTTTCCACATTGGTGACCCTATGCAGCGTGCTCTGCGTTTACCAATCTAAAAAATAAATACAGAACGCTGCGGGTCGCAATGCAAATGCAACTGACCCGATAAAACTGCATTGGGTCATAGAAAGGGAAAATACAACCTACAAACGCAGTTCCCGCCAAAATACGATTTTTATAGCCTCTCGGCGCCACGCCGTACTCCTACCTCGAGCCACGTTCACGAGGCTCATACCAACGTTCCTGCCACCCCAATGCCCCATTCCCGTTTCCATCCCCTAAGCGGGGCTGGATACTCAAACCCTGCATCAGCCCCCTTTGGTCTCCCTTTCTCCGTCCTCTCCTCTCCCCATCCACCCTCGGCTGAGTTAAATTTATCTTCGAATTAAAAATTACGATATACTACGGAGAAGTAGATAAGCAGCTTGATTTAGGAATAGAGGCAACCTAACCTGTACTGTCGGATTATTATTTTCTGAAGAATTCATCTAATTAAAAATGTTATTTAAAATTATAAAATTTTTATTTCACTCGTAAGGTTCCTCTGTTAAATTTTTAAAAAATTATTTTTTAACAACCACACTTCAACTTTAACAATTAAACTTGAAGTTTTTGAAACCGAATCCAGACAAACTCTTGCACCGATTTAAGTTTGATTTTTACCGAGCGATCGGTGCTCCCACTGCGCTATTAAACGTCCCAACGAAATTGCATGGCAATACGTATAGGACCGAACTCTGTCGAGGTGGAAAGCGCTTATGGGGTGGACAGTAGCCGGACATCGGAATGGGAAACGGGTTAGCCGAATGACCGGTGGTCAGAGTTATGGGGGTAGAATTGCACCGCCCATTCCAAAAACAATGCCGGGTAAAACGGTAACGGGGTACGCGGCGATTATTATACACAGTCAACCCTAAAGCCACGTCCTCGAAAATATTCGTCGTTTTCTGAAATCTGGGTGCGCGTGTATATACGTTTTAAAAAAGCAACAAGAAAATACAAATCAAACGGCACCGTCGAACGAGCCGCGAATTAAAACGCTATTGGACACGGGACCCTTTCGAAAGATATGACCAGCAGCGTAGCAAGCTGCGAGGGACGATACTGGTGTTACCGAACATCAATGATATACAATGGTCAGCGGATGATGCTGAAGATATCGAGGA